GCCAGTAAAAGTGGCGGCGTGGCGCGGCGTATCGGCCGTGGATTCGTAGAAGCCGCGCGGCGCATTTGCGCGCATTTATACGTGCGTGCAACTCTTAGAGAGCGGCATTAAGTAATTATCATAAGCGTCGGCTTAAGTACGGTACAGACAGGCTGTCCATCACGCGAGTCCACGTCCTCGCTCTCGGCGATCATACATAGTAACGACTCACTCGTCCGTGACTTACAGGCGGGAACGATTATTTCTGCTTACGCTCGCGCGCGGAGGTGCGAGGGAAACGCACGACGCAAGGTAGGCATCAGCAACAACACGATCATGCGAATCATCCGCGACGAGATTAGGGTTGGACTCTAGGCGAGCGGCGATTTTTCTTTTTACAGCGACGAGTTTCTTTGCGGTGAGCGCATTGAGCCTTCTCACTCCACGTTTGACACGAAGAGAATGAGTGAATCGCCAACAAATATTTGTTATTAGAGATAACGGGGCGGTATATACGTGCAGATTATATTTTAAATAAACATGAGAATCTTAAAATACCTCCAACGCGCCTCAACAATCATTCAATGATGATAATAAGAAAAAAACGAGATACGCAGTCGTGAACTTCGAGCTTCAGGCGAAACATGCAATCGTGTCTTCTCGACGGTGCAGTTAAACATTCCACGCGTAATTACCTCGGATTTTGCTGGCTAACGATAAACTGCCTCGCCTTCCCTCCTCGGCAAATAATGGCGCTCCTTTCCTCGTTACCGCGGAAACATAGAGCAACGGATTAGCATCGTCTGTCTTTAAATCAACACGAAGGCTGTCCTTAAAGCGAACAAGAAAATTTCCTCCCCTCTCGCAATCAATATAAGCAAGTTATATAATACAGCCGCGTTTTTCGATCTTCATTTTCTCGTCTCTGAATAACGCAAACACACTGTGATTACTTCTTGTAATCTACTTGACATCGTGATGAAAAAAAGCTACTTAAATCGCAGAATTTGAATGAAGTTCCCAAAAATACAAATATTTAACAAGAGTTTTATAAAGTAGCATTTTTAGTTATATCAATTTACGTACTTCTGATCTTCGTTTTCTCAACCGTACACGGAAAATACGTACACTTAGAGAAAAATATTGTAGTAGGGGAACTATGGAGATAACATATACAAGATTTACATGTAGAATTCATATACAATTGAATAAACTATATTTTATAATTGCAACAACTATATACAATAAGTTTATTCAACTACGTGTGTACACTCTAAATTTTTTACAGTAAAATCTCACTCTAACAAAATGAAAATACAACCATCCTCTTGAAAAAAATGAAAATTTTACTTCTTGAAAAAGAGTGACAATTTTCTCTTTTTTTTTAGAGTGAATTTTTATTTCAAAAGAGTGAAATCTCACTTTTAAAAAAGTGAGATTTCATTCTAAAAAAAGTAAAGATCGTAATTTTTTTTTTCAAGAAGTGAAATATTTTCCATTTTTTTCAAGAATAGATGCATTTTCACTCACTTGGAGTGAGATTTTACTGCAAGACATTTAGAGTGTACATCAACTCTAGATATATAGTAAAACTTACATAGCTGTCATCTTATTTCTATAGTTTTTACTACCAGTATGTCTCTCTGATCAGTGCAATCACGTATTCTATACACATCTTCTCAATTTAAATTCGAACAGCTTTGAGGCTGAATTAAATATCGGTCTGTATCCCAATTTTTTTCAAACATGAAAGTTTCGGTGCCTTAAAAAAGTAAAATCTACGAATGTTGAAGCATATTTACGACATATAATTTGTGTGACTCAGATTTCGTATATAATTAATGATAAAATTCTTGCGAATATTCAGCCTTCTCTTTTCTGTCAACAACTCGTCAAACGTACAGTTCCGACAAAAAATTAATTAAAATTGTTGCACCAAATTAGATGCATCAGCGCGCGCAGCTCATTTCGATTTCATCAATCTCACTTCTGACCTCGTTACTTGTATTACTAGGATGGATATATCATTGATTCGCCTCTTAAGCTACTATCAAATTACACGTTATTCGGTAAAAGGGCAAACGTACATATTGCCGGTGATTTTCACCGCATCTATCATTACGAGAGAAAATGCATTTACTGCGCACGCGCGCTTCCTCGCTTTTATTCTTATCGTCAATAGGTGCGAAAACGATACGGCCGACACGGGTCATTTTCCTTCCCTTCAGGTTATCGCATCGAGATAAATAAATTTGTTAACGTAGGTTGACAAATGTTTGATCTCATTTAACACCGTGGTGTGTTAAAATTTAGCAGCAACAATGACGACAATAATTTTCGTGAAGAATGCATAAAGCCAATACGTTATAATACATTATATCATATGATAACTTATATATTTAATCAATTTAATTTAATTTTAATGTAACGTATTTTTAATTTTATTTTTATTCAAGAGTACCATTGAATTACATGACTTTCTATCAAAACACACACACACACACATTTTATTAAAAACAAAATATTTTATTCTAAAACGTTTTCTGTACAAACAATATTTGTTTGAAATTAGAAATCACTTGTTATATATATATATATACCTTCAGCTTCCTATAAAAAAGGTTGCTTGTACTTTTGCTTGTAAATTCCTAAATCGGATCAATCGATACACGCATATTGCATTGAACGAATCTCTTTCTTATGCAATAAAAATCCTGTGGAGAATGAAAAAATTCTCGACATGGACGACATTACGTTAGAATCCTCCAGAAATCAAGGAGGAAAAAAGCCCCGCTAGTAGTTCCATAGCTACGCTGTCTCGCATTCCGCGATGAGTTCCCACACATACGCGCGCGCGTGCACACCTCCGCCTTTCGATTCACGCATTCCCAACGAAAGAGAGGTGACCGACGACGCACGACGGACGAGAAAAGGAGAAAACTACTTGGGCCGTAGTGAGGGAAGAGCTGAATGAAAAAAGGAGAAGAAAAAAGGTAGAGGGACCGGGTGAGCGCGCTCGAGGATGGAAGGGAGACAAAACGGAAGAGTAAACGAGAGTGGGGAACTCTGGTAGAGATATTCCTTGCGCAAGGAATATAAGGATCCGTGGTGGGAGCCTCGTCGGGCGTAGCCTTAGCAAAGCCCGCCTACCATCTCCCTTTGAGAGCCACGTGCTCTCCACGTCTGCCAGACAATTCAGGCACAAGAGATGTCAGAAACTGCTAGCTTCGTGCTATGAGGGAACGAGAACGCGTGGTGATGAAATAGGTGCAACCCTTGCGTTCGCTAATAGTCGGCGATTGCAATAACCCTGTCGGGAAAAGGTATCATTATCAAAGATACCTTCAGGATCGTCAGAACTGAAGTATAAATTCATTTCAAAATATCGACAGAAAGTTAAATTTATGAGAGAAAGAAAGAGAGAGAGAAAGAAGCAATTTATAATATATCTTATAATAAGTTATAAAGTAATTTATATCTTGTGATAAAATTATAAAATTTTAAAGTTAAGTGTGCTTATCAATATAATTTACAGTTCTAAACCTGATGAAACAATTTTTTGCATCTTATATTACATAATCCACATTTTTTATCTTAAATTTTATATTCATAAATCAATTTAAATAGTTACTTTTATCTCCATCGCAAGCATCACGAGGGATCTGTTCTTCAACAATGGAAGTTGATTCAACTTCAGAACACCTTTCATCTCAAAAGGTAGATGAAAGCATGAAAGGGAACTGGAAAGAGGAGCGGAAATGGGAAAAATAATCATTAGCGAATACTACGTGAGATAAGAAAATGATGTCGCTGACGAGGAAGAGAAAGAAACAGGAGACGAGGAGCACAGCGGGATGGAAGAAATCGAAGAGATCGTAGCTTACACTGGTGGAGGAAGAAAACGGAGGGAGACAAGAGGCGGGAATCAGGCTGAGAGAGGCGGGGCAAGATTTAATCGGTCTTGGGGGGGTCCAGTGGTTTCCACCGCATCAGGGGGGAAGGGAGAACGTTCCGTTCTCTCTCTGAAGAGAGATCGGCTCTTCCCCGGAGGAGCGCGTGCAGTCGCTAGCCGAGGCCTATACTTGCCCGTCGAAGGGTATTGGTTCTCCGACTCGTTGCACCATACCCCCCAAGCAGCGCGAGAGCAACGTCAAACTAACAGACAAACAGAGAAAGAGAGAGGGAGGGAGAGAGAGGGAGAGAAAGAGAGCGAGGGAAAGAGACGGAAAAAATAAGAAAGACAGGGAAAAAGAGAGAAAGAAGACGAAGAGAAGGAGAGGGTGCAAAACAGAAAAGGGCGAATAGGACATCTCTCCCCTTCATCGCCTTACATCGTTGTATCCCAACACGAGCACGCGTGCACGCACGCACGCCCGCGGCAGGCACGCATGCACGCGCGCACGTCACCGCCACCGCCACCGTCACCGCCACCGCCGCCGTCACTGCCGCACGTTACCACTCGAAGGACCTCCCCATCGAAGAAGCAAAGAGTTGGCACGGACGGTCGACGGATGAACGAAACGGAAGGAGCGGAGCACCGGCACGCGTATACGTCACCCCTGAGAGAGATTAGGCGAGAAGGCCAAAAGACGCCGGGTCCGGTGGCGTTTCCGAATCTGGGTGCTTTACCTGATCCCAAGCATACGGTTGGCGATCCGACACACACAGCATCCAGAGGGTTGGCAGGTATAAGATCTTTTCGAGCCATTTTGTGCCCGGTCGTCGTCCGTCTCTCTCTCCCACCACTAATCGCTCGGTCGCACGCTCTCGAAGGGTGACACCCACCCTTCGAGAAGGGCCTTTCGGGAGGGGTGAATTTTCGTGGTGCGGTTCACATCGCCCTGCAGTCACAGTCAGCAACAGGATCGTCAACTAAACGTCACGGTGTTTGCCAGATATAACGGACATTTTGACAAGTCTCTGTAAGGAACACTCGACCTAACGCAAAACGGCAGACAGGGAGATAGCTTTCCAGATCAGTGCACGGAAGTAGTTGCAGAGAGATAGACGGTTACATTTCTTCGCTCGAATACCAGCTCCGATACGGTTCGCCGAACGTCGATTTCATGAGGGTGATGCGGTGATCAGTGACCGTTATCGAAACACCCCGGAAGGATCGCGCTTAAATCTCAGGACGATCTTATCAAGCGATTAGCATCGGGGTCATGCACATGACCCTGTGAGTGCGATTCGAGAAGGATCCGAGTTCGCGTCGACCAAGTATCAAGAACGTGAGTACCGCGAGAAGATGTTCGTTCAGTGATAGTGCACGGTGTTAGCCCTTGATCAACGATAAGAAACGACAAGAGCGGATTTGCACGCTGGGACATTCTGCGATTACGAGACACGCGAGACACACGCCGGAAGATGAGGCTCTGGATGTTTCTCACCGTGCTCTCGGTGACGGTGCACGCGTCGCTGGAGGAGATCACCAGGAACAAAAATCGCGGCAGAGGATCCACGTGGTGGTGAGTATCAGGGAGCGAGCTTTCGTTCCTTGGAGTTTTATTTTAATACACCTTCAGTATATAGTCGAATTCCTGTCTCGTCCTATCCTTTCTCTCCACGAACGCACGCTTGTAAATACACCGCGTCGTAAAATATTTTATCGCCGGCATTAGCGCGCGGAGTTTTTTGAAATAAATTATGGTTGCACTGAACGGTTAATAGACCTGTTGACAAAGTCATTGAATGGACTTAAATAATCGGAGGGACTAGTGAGAAAAAGGACAATGTATTAGAATTATATGCATATATTTTATTATAAAAATTTCCTTAATTTCTTACTATTTGTTGCATATAAATTATCAATAAAAAATATTCAATTTAATATCTATTGAAATAATCATCTTCAAGGGAATAAAAATCTATAAAATACTCAATTTTCCTTGATAGAAAGTCTCATTTTCTCACTAACTCATTCGAATCACATTATTCATTTATATTATTCTTTTTGTTATAGCTAATGACAATACTTAATGGTTACGGACAATTTACATGATTCGAATTGAAATGCATGCACATTATACGTAAAGGGATAAACTTGACCTGGTATTTTTAATAAATAATAAGAAAAAATTTTCTTATGGCTCTATTACTGGATCTTGAAGACTTTTCCGCTCATAAACGCTGACGTCACGGTTAACGATTCAAGCGTTAATTGAGATTATTAATGCAATCGCTGAATCATCGGAAATAAAAATCGCGTTGGAGGAATCAGTTCCACGTTCCTGCCCTTGATCTTCGACCAGTTTGCACCAGCATAGAAATCGAAAGCTTTATCGCTTTTTCGCTTGTTTTCGCTCTTCATCAACTGCTTTTATTGATTAATCTCTCATCGAAAAAAGATTGAGAATCTATTTGTCGATTTAAATAAAAAAATTCAATTATTTGCACAGTAAAAATGAAAAGGAAAGATAGAAATATACGATGTTACTTTTTTTACTTTGAAGAATTTTGTAATAGAAGACAAAAAAATTTCAGAAGAAATTTTATATAAAATACATATTTAATTAAAATATAAATATAATCTTTTAATTATATACATCTTTCAATTCATCAAAGCCTTTTATAGAACTTTATACCTTTCAAAAATAATCAAAGTTATATACATTACTTTAAATACGAAGCGCCACTGCGGTCTGAATGTTAAGATGTTTTAACTATTATATATATTCATTTAAATGAATTAATTTCCGAAATTATAATTGCGTGCCGATATGATTGTATAAGTTTATTACAGTCTTTTAAGATTAAATTTGGGAAATTTGGGAGATTATTAATATTTCAGATTGATTGCGTTGAAAGTCCAACAACCACATCGGCACACAATTATAATTTCGGAAATTAATTCATTTAAATGAATATACATAATAGCTCAAAACATCTTAACATTCAGACCGTAGTGGCGCTTCGTATTTAAAGTAATGTTTCTAACATAAACGGTCTTATTTCCAATCTTATCAAAGTTATATACATTTTGATATATAAAATTTTTTTTCTACTTTACATCTGTACTTTCTTCTGCACACGTCTAACGTATTTCCCAAAGAAACGGCAACATGTATAGAAATACATCATGAAGAGATGTCTCGCAGGAGCCATTGCCATTTCTCGCACTTCTTCCTTCACCGCCGCACACATTCGACGTAGTTTCTTCCAATTAAAATGTAATTCTCCGCATGAATCGAATTGACCTTCGTGCGTTAATTACTACGGCGTGCGCTCGTGCGCGCACGCATTAACACCTGTCTGCCCCTGCATTTATCGCGCTAATCGCGGGAGCAACGTTGTTTACGCGCGTGACCACAATGTCGTTATTAATTCATTAATCATAATTCTAACTCCACGTTTCGATTCGCGATTTCTTGCACACGATATGTGTTAGATAATGACTAACTTCATTAGTCCGATCATAAATAACGCGCGCGATCGAGAGCTCGTGTTCGCATGCTATTCTGCGAGATAACTACGGCGAATATCCACCTATAACATAAATCGTCGACGATATATCAGCCATGAACTCATATATTTCCGCGTAAACCTCGCACAATGGCTTAACAATGTGTTCGTTATTGCCGCTAAATTAAATACATCGACACGATCCGACGGATCGCACGTTCCTCACGACGATCGAGTCAGTTCAAACTGTGACGTATTGTTCATCATTACCAGTAATTAAATAGATAACATGTTTGTTTTCGATTTTGCCATAATTGTATATCGCGTGAAACTTAATGTTTCGATCAATGTCCTTCTGTGATTAATTTCAATTGAAGATTGTTAAGTGAAATATATGTCATTCGATCATTACTGAAGATGCACGCTATTGAAACAGTAGAAAGCAAAATCTTGTAGTTCTTTAACAAGCAGAACTTGAAAATTTTTCACAACTATTTAATTTAAAAAATCTGTGGTAATAAATCAATAGTCCTTTTCTTCTTTAGCGATACGTTCATTGTAGTTAAGAACATTAGTAATCAAAGACTAATAGCGAATTTGGTTGAACACATTGATGCATATTATACACTAATTTAATCTGAATGTAAAAGTAAAATGCAATATTTTTTTATTATAAAATACAGATTTTACCAAACAGCACAATAAAGTATATCAAAAATTATGCGATTTAACTCGTTTCTATATTTATATTAAACACACATGTCCGACGGCATTAGTGCATCCAACTAAATTCGTTATAACAGCAGGATTAATATAAGAGAAAGCAGCGTAAGCATAAACATATATTTTACAGGAAAAAAAATGGTCAAATAGTATCAGACTGAAAGATAGATAATTATATTCGTTTCTATCAATATAAATTAACTTTAATCTTGGTTTAATTTACTTTTTATCTTTTTCTAGTTCTATAAGAATTAGAAAAGGATTAAATTAGAAAGAGTAAATTAAATCGAGATTTAATCTAAGATTAAACCAAGTAATAGACATTAGTAGTGTAAGAAGGAAAACATCGAGAATGTCACGAATCTATCATCCATATCGGTTCGAGATATGTAGAAATCAATCGATTAACAAGTACAACCATAACGATCGGTAGATCGGTTAAGAGTCGATACCCGTGATTTGGTATACGTTTACCATGCATTGTGGGTGGTCGTATCTGGTGTTAATAGTGACGATTAATTGTAGACGTGGACAATAATTACACCTTGTGGCGACATAAAGTGCGAGCACGCATGGAGACTTTCCGTATTTTTAAAATTCGTGCGAGAGCGTGGCTTATTACTTTTACTATCGTTAATTAAACTTTGCGCGTTTTTCCATCTCCGTGAAGCACGCTCAAACTTCGTTATTATAAATGATATCCACGACATTTTTATTGTATGCTGACGCGTATCGTCAGACAGAGTCGTTTCACCGCCGTGAGAACAGATTGTATAAATAGTTATTGCAAGTTTTCCGTGAATATCAAAATTAATGTCTATAAATTTCTCCTTTCTCAATGTTGACAGATGTTGAAGATTGTTTATCATAATATGAGACATGTGATGCGAAATTTACTTAATGTAAGCAAAATAAACGTGTATGTATATTTTTAGAGTCTTCTTAAACGTATATGTATATTTTATGACACAAACAGGCTTAATTTATTGTATATTTGTATATAGAAAATAGAAATTTGTAATTTTTACAAATAACTTTTCTGTATTCACGTATTTTTAAATACGACTTGATACGAATAGATCTAATTTATTGTACAGTTCATATAAAAAAAAAAGAAATTTGTAACTTTTACATATTATATTTAAATATAACTTGTCTTAAACGATCATCCATATTGTTAACAAGAGCGAAATTGTGATAAGAACTCCGTATCTTTTCATTAAACAAAGTGTTACGTCTAATGTCCTACAAATGAGATGCTAAAGGGGATGTTCAAAGCTTCGCTATTAATCATTCACATTTCATATTTCAAATGAACATCTTACCGCGCAATCATGATACTCTCCGATCATTACAATATTATATCTATCGCTTTCATCGCGAACCGGTAATCTCAAGTGTGGTCGATTTATCGACGCTGTCCGCAGGGAATCAGGAGTGAGAGGTACATGACCGTGACAGCGTGGCTCTTCTATTCACGTGGGACCCAGTTTCCTAGCTTCTGGATCATTCCCATAGCTTTTAAACGTTTGCTAACGGTTGACATTTAATGTTTCCGACAACTCTTATTTGAGCGTCTGACATAAATCTTCTTGAAGTAATGCCTCCTATTCTTCATTTTCAAACTTTCTCGGCTTACCAGGGCGTCTTTGTCATTCGAGTCAAAATCATTGTTTTTGAATCTTCTAAACCAATCTCTGCAAGTTGTTTCAGATAGAGCATGCTCCCCATAAGTCTCCACTAACAAACGATGACTTTCAGCAGCAGATTTCTTGAGATTAAAACAGAAAAAGTAATGCTTCCCGCAAATGTTTTTTTTTTTTTTGGTACGAAACCCGACATTTTTGTTTAGTTTAGAAGAAGTTTAATTTAGAAGAAAACAACATTAATAAAGAAGAGATTAAGACGCGGAATTGCGTCGTAAATATGTACTGCCGACTTCCGGTTAATTGGCGCCACTCTCTTTACACTCACTCTATGGATTGCCAATCAAAATATTTCCCGCGTGAATCAAATGACAGACTCGAGCCGTTACGACCTAGCAAAAACGAAGCTCGAGCAAACGAGAAAATATGACGTCTCTCGTTTGCCACGAACCAATACAGAAGCGATAAGGCCCTCATAGAGTCCAGCTTATTGACAATTTCTAGGCGAGAAACATCATCCTTTCGTTCACTAATCACTATCTCACTTCTGAAGTTGTAGACGACGATGATTTAATGAAATGAGTATCTGCAAAATTGTCATACACAACGTCGAATTAGGGTACGATGTCACATGGAGTCAGGAATAGGAAACAAAAACAGAAACAGAAAAGATTCTGGGCCCCTATTTCTGAAAAGAA